TCAGGTCCGCAGCAGCAGAAAGACATGCCTCCTGGAGGGTGTTACTCCACGGTGGACGTCGTTACTGTTTGAAGGGACGCTGCGGAGCACTGTTTCTCAAACTGGGGGTCACGGTATCGCAGTGGGGTGTAGAGTCCATTTAGAGTCAGGACCAGTTTGGGTATTATTGTTGTTGTTCTTGTTTATTAATAGAGTAGAATAGAGAAGAGAAAAGAATCGAAATGATCAAAGTGCATTGCACACAAGCATCACTCTTGTTTCTGTAATTATGTTAGGCTACACACACACACACACACACGCACGCATATTCATCTGACATTGTGTGTGGATATGTTTATGTATATGTGTGCTTTTAAAAAATGCACTGGTTTGTACATAATTCCTGGGGGTTGCAGTAAGGAAAAAAGATTAATAGCATTTTCATGTGAGAATGTCTCCATCGCCCCCTGTGACCTCAGGGGTTTTGATGTTGGCACAGAGCCATGTGGCCACCCGTGGTCAGCAGGTAACTCGGTCCGGGATTGGGGGCTGCCTCACCGATGCTTTCCTTGGTTTGCAGGTGGTGGTTGGCGGGGCCGAATGGCACTACATCGCCACGCAGGGGCCCCTGCCGCACACGTGCCATGACTTCTGGCAGATGGTGTGGGAGCAGGGAGCCAATGTGATCGCCATGGTCACTGCGGAGGAGGTAAGGGGAGTGGCCGGCAGCCCCCTGCTCCAGGGGGAGGGGTGGCCAGAAAATGGGCTTCGTGTCTGGGACTTGGCTGCTCCGTGCTGCTTCCTGCGGCACCATTTCTCCGCAAATCCTCTTCCTCTGGCATTGCACCTGTCTCCTCTTTTCACTTCCATGTAGTTGGGTTTCGTTTCCCAAAGATAATCTGTTGGCTCCCATTTTCATCAACTTTTCACTCTTTTCCCTGCATTGCCATGAACGGAAATTAAACAAACCAAAAAGAACCAGCTCCTTTTTGTGTGCCAGACAACACCATCCATAGTCTTTGCCCTGGGACTCGAGAACCTGGGCTGCTGTGGGTGAATCGGCACATGTTCCAACCACGGCCATGGCCAGCTGACATCCCTCATGCTTATCGCAGAAGGAGCCCGGAGCTGCGGGGCCTGCAGAGGTCTTTATTCTTTAGGGAGAGAAAAAAAATGTGTGTTCTTCCTTTGCCAAGTCACACAGTTGTTCTGTTGTAATAGAGACGTCTACGTTCTGAAAATGGGCACACACCACCGAGCAGTTCACGGGGGTTGCTGTCTTTCGGGGGGAAGACGTTTTAGGCTTCTTTTCTTGTCACTTGTTCAGTGTTTTATCTTAACCACTTAAGGGACTAGCTTCGTGTGGTTTTGACCAATACTTATGGGGTTACCCCTTTGCTAACAATTTTTAAAGGTGAGGAACAGAGATCATTGAAAAAAGTCACATTTTCTTCATGGACTGTTCTGAGCAGCTGCTTTCCAGAACGGCCCATTGGAAGATAGTGGTGGCCCTGGCTGGGTGGCTCAGTTGGAGCGTCGTCCCGTCCACTTGGTTGCGGGTTCGATTTCCAGTCAGGGCACATACCTAGATTGAGGGTTCAATCTCCGTTTGGGGCACATGCAGGAGGCAACTGATTGGTGTTTCTCTCTCACATGTCTCTCTCTCTCTCTCTCTCTCTCTCAGTGAGGTCTAATAGAGAGAGCCCTGGGCTGAACATCAGAAATGCAGAGTGTGACCTGGATTGACCACTAAGACGCGGTCACTCCCCTGCCTGAGGTCACTCCATCCCCTTTGGACAGCTTCCCACTGTCCGTGGAGTGAAACCCAAACTGCCTCCCATGGACCAGGAGGCCTTTCCGACCTCCTCGCTACCACCTTCCTCCTGTTTCTTTAACACCCAAGCGTGTTCTCACCCCTAGACTCTGCTCTGGCTCTTCTCTCTCTGACATCCAACAGCAGCTCAGTTGTGAATCTTTTAAATTTTCTGTTGACGTAGCTGCCATTGTACATCTTCTTATGGGTCTTAGCTAAGATTTGTAGGATCTAATCTGTGATAGACACTGCACAGTGCTACTGAGTTAGTGACTTAGAAGCTATTCACGTTTTCCCCCCATCCTCAGATTTTAAGATTAAGAGGATAAGCGCTTGCTTCCCTTGACTAATTTCCAACTTTACTTTTGTGTGTGATTCAGGAGGGCGGACGCACCAAGAGCCACCGATACTGGCCCAAGCTGGGTTCCAAGCACAGCTCAGCCACCTATGGCAAGTTCAAGGTCACCACGAAGTTCCGAACGGATTCTGGTTGCTATGCAACCACCGGCTTGAAGGTCAAGCACCTTTTGTCTGGACAGGAACGGACGGTGTGGCATTTGCAGTATACTGACTGGCCAGATCACGGCTGCCCAGAGGATGTCCAAGGATTTCTGTGTAAGTGTTCTCTTCCTGGCTGGGTTTTACCAACTGTGTCAGTGGTCTGATCTGTTGGAGGTGAAATGGAAAGAGAAGACGCTCTCTATTAAGTGGCAAAAGTATTATAACAAGGACGTATCTGTCCCTTCTTATGCGGAACAGAGAAGACAAATATATGTCACTTACCATATTCTCTTTACCTTTTATGCAAGTAAGCTGCTAAAACTGTGGTAAACTAATTGATTCCACCTTGATTTAGAACTTCACTCATGAATGCATAATTATTCGGATACATGTTTGAACCTTGAAAGCATGCTACGTAAGCCCTGGTTGGTGTGGCTCAGTTGATTGGGCATCGTCCCACCTGGAGTTTATTTTGATATTCATTTAGAATGGGAGGCAGGGGGGGAAAGAGAGAGAAGACAGGTTTTTAAAGGCCTAAATGTACCATTTCACAAATTCCAACAGAAAGATTTCTATGCATACTTATACGTTGATAAAGGTGTTTCGTTTCCCACTAACGTGATGATGGTGCTGGAGTTGGACACTGAAAGTGGAGAAGAGAAAGGTGATTGGAATCAAAGAATCTAGAGTGTGATGGAGAGGGTTTGTGAGTTGCTGAGGTGTGTAGCTCAGATACTAATAAGGGAGGGCAGTGTCCTCTGCAGAACTCGCTTTCCTCACAGTAGTATTCTTTTTGTTCCTTTCTAGTAATCCTTGCCTAATTGGCTAATCAGAATTTTCTCCAAAACACAGAACATGGGAGCAATAAAAGTAGACCACTTAAAAAAAATAGACCAGTTTGATGGTTAACAGCTCTGATAATACAAGATTGAGTCTCAAAGGTGGTTAAAATGATAGCCAAATCTTTAAAATCAGAACCAACTGAGGGAAGGCTGATCTAAATTACTGAAAAAATATAGAAAATATTTTTAAACAGTGTGAGTGCGTTCATTTACATTGCTAAGGGACTCCAGACAAGTGTGTCGAGTCAGGTCCTAGAATGACTTTGTAATGAGATAAGCGAATAAGGAAAACAGGAGTTCTTATTGACTGTACGTAAAACAGATGCATCTAGGTGAACCAGACCAGGTTGCATGCCCTTTTTCCTCTTCGCCAATTTGAGCATCTCCCTGAGTCTCCCGTATGTAGCTCCATCAGGGTGAGCTTTTTCTGCGTGCCCAGGCCTTCCAATCTGCTTCTCCCTGAGCCAGCCACTACAAAATCTCAATTATTAATGGACTTTCTCCACTTCCTGGACTGTTGGAGAAGTACATTTATACCCATATTTTTTTACGATCCTGAAGGACAATGTAATTTTTCACTTGTGCCCCAATGAAGTAGTGAACAGACCCCCCTCCCCCCAGCCCTGCTCAGCTAGGCAGATGCTGGGAGGGATGGGGAAGGTGGCACAACTCCCCCCAAACATGTGGCCTCCAGAAATGGGGCTGGGGGTGGCTTACCTTGAGCTACTCAACCAGTTGGAATCCAAGCTGTAAAGCAGGCCCCCCGATGTCTATTTTAAAACCTAAAAACGAAGTCGAGCCTCGGTTGACATTCGCTCATTGAGGGAGGGGAAGGGAGAGGGCAGATGGAGGCTCTTCCCACCAGACACTGGCACTGCCAGGCGGGCGTTTCAAGGGGACCTCGCTGGTGCTCTGATCCCCGTCTGTTAATAGGAGGAATTGCTGTAAGTAATGTTGAGACTCATCTGCTTGGGGGACTTTGGGATTTGCAGAGGGGAAAACCGAATTTAATTTTTAAAAAAGAAGTATTTAATTCAAAGAACAAATTCTCCCATGGACTAATTGACTCCCAGCTGGTCCTCTCTGGCTCCAGGACTGTACTGTGGGTACCAGCCAAATAATTAGTGTCTTGTAAGAACTGTAAATCATTGTCACTTAAAAAAAAAAAAGATTTCCCCCCCCCACCACTCCTGGAGGCAAAGCCACGCGGTGCGCGCGTGACGGACGTGCCCTTTGTCTTGCAGCCTACTTGGAGGAGATCCAGTCGGTGCGCCGGCACACCAACAGCATGCTGGAGGGCACCCAGAGCCGGCACCCGCCCATCGTGGTCCACTGCACCGCGGGCGTGGGCCGCACCGGCGTGGTCATCCTCTCCGAGCTGATGATCTACTGCCTGGAGCACAATGAGGTGAGTCTCCCGGGGCCTCCTGACCCTCCACCTGGGGACAGAGCTGCACCCTGGCCGGGCCTCGCCTGCACCCTTCTTTCCCGGGGCCCGATCCCCTCTGTCCTGACAAGAGCTTTCCACGGCCCCGATCCCTGCTCGGGCTCTGACATTCCCAGGCCTGGTTATCTTCCGTCTTTCACTGCCCTGTGCTGACACCCATGTCACAGAGAGAGATCGGCATGTGCAGTAGGGACCGACCGATTAGAAAGTCCGGGCACGTTCGGCAAGGACTTCCAGAAGTCGGCAGTGTTGTGTAGACAGTCTGGCTTCATGGTGGGCACTTTCCCGTGGTGCGTGGTTTGGTCACATGTAGTTTCGATGCGTCTGGCGTGTCTGGGATGTGTGTTGGCCTTCTGCCTGTGTGAAAGTGCGTGTGGTGTACAGAGCTTTGGCATCCTTCAGAGGGGTTTTCTCTAAAGGGGGCTGTTGTTGGCTCCGGTCTAGACCGGCAGTGGCTGGAGGGGCAGAGCGAAGTGGGCATCTGAGTGCCTTTGCCGAGGTCACGCCCAGCTCTTCTCCCTGAAGAAGGGGCTGTGGCTGATGTGGCGCCCACACGGTACGTGGCATCTCCTTCCTGCTCTAACCAGGGCGTTACTCTGAGGGGCTTTTTATTTCCTCAAGAGGAAACAACAGCTATGGAGGCTAAGACAGTCTGCTGTTTGTTTATATGGGGCATAGAATGGCTGTCATGTTTTTTGTCTTAGTGGGGTCCTCATAGCAGCCAGGTAGATGGGGCTGGGCACAGGCCAGACCTCCTGCTTTACAGATGGGGAAACTGAGGCCCAGACATTGTTCAGCGGCTTGTCCGGAGCCACATGGCTCCGAAGCAGTGGTGCCACGGTGAGAACGAGATCTTCTACCCCCTTCTCCCCCCTACTGACCTGTTATCTCCTTCTCCAGCTTCAAGTGTCATTAGGTTCTTGTTCATTTTTCCAAATTACACAGCTTGGAGAATCCGAGGACACTTTCCAAGTGGTTCGGTAGTTTTTCGGGAAAGTTACAACACACGTTCTGTGAAGGAATTTATTTAATAATATACGTATTTACTCATGACCATCCGTGGCTTGAAATTCAGACTAACTACTACCCCATGAAATTTGTTATAGTGTAACTTGCAGGAAAACGGTAAATGTTAAGTGTAAACATGTTCAGAGGATTGTAAACTCCCTGCCTATAAAAGTTCATTTTGGAAGCTTCCCGTCTGTAGCATGCATGTTTGTGCTGCGGAGGAGGGGAGTTCGGAATAATGTGGCCTGGTGTTGGAAAACACCAAACGTTCTGGTGATGAGCAAAATGCCCCTCACGGAATCATTTGAGACTGCGTCACAGAGGTTTCATCACCTTCTGTGAGTTTTTATCCTTTTGTCTCACATGAAGTTCTGGAGTGTTTGCTTCTGTCAATGGTGGAAGTCTCTAGAAGAGTGGATAGCTTACCACCAAGTCCCAAATCCACTCAGCACTGGGAGATGGGATAAGATGGAATGGAACCGGGGGACTATGGCTTGAGCATCCGTGGGCTCCAGGGGCAGAGGAAGGGCCTCATCATCTCCTCCCTCCCCTCAAGTCTTTTTCTCCCCCCTCATATCACTTTCTTCCCCTTCTCATCTCCATTCCCTGTGCACACCTCTGCTCCCGTCCTCCTTTTCAACTTGAGAAGCTATCCTGTCCATCTTGCCTGACATGAAGTATTGTTCCGTTTTGAGCTCTTCGGGGACCCATCAAAGGCCATGCCTCAGTGAGGCGATGACACGAAGGCTCATTGATCACCAGATGTTCCTGGCCCAGTAGAACAGTACACAGCACATGTCAGAGCCTCCCTGGCACCGAGGGAGGGACCCGGCCACTGGGGCCTCGCGTGGACTTGATGAGGGCTCGGGCGATTAAATTCTCTCTGGTGTGTCCAAACATAGCGGATTTCCTCAATGCCCAGTCGCACGCCAGAACATTCTTTGCTGGAACGTGGTCAGTCCAAAAGGGACTTCTGTTCCCATTGATATTCAAAGATAGCTGGATGACTCATTTTTCACTTCCCTTCCCCAGCACAAATATAGCTGGCCTTATCTGCCCGTTTCCCATCAGTGCTATTGGTAGCTGGTGAGGGCGAAAAAAGTTCTCCACTTTGTTCTGTTTCGGGCCTGACGAGTAAGCTCCAAGCCCTTATTTTGGGAGAAGGGTGGAACATGTTTAGATCGTTCATTTTTTGTTTGTTTTTTTGACAAATATGAAATTGTATGTCCTATTATTTTCCTGTCTAAACTTTCCTGCCTCCTTTCCATGGCTTCTGGATTAACCCCCTCTGTGTTTTATTCTAATCCATGCAGTTTTAATTTTGTCAGTGAAATGCCTTTTCTTTTCCCTGAAACAAAGATGTGTGAAGTCGGCACCTGTGAGGGAGGGATGGGAGGGGACTCACCCAGGCTGTTCCGAAAAGCCTCTTTGTGGCCCGTTGCTTTTGGTCACAGAATGTTACCTGTCACGTTTTAATGCCCATACGTTTTATGGTTTATAATACCCTCTCTTGGCCCCTGGATTTAGCTGTCTGTCCCAGTTTAGTTAATTACAAATACCAGGTTATCCCCAGCCAAATAGCAAGATGGCTGGGTCTTCCTGCTTTTCTGAGTTGGTTATCCCCCCTTCATCATTGATATTCAAAGATAGCTGGATGACTCATTTTTCACTTCCCTTCCCCAGCACAAATATAGCTGGCCTTATCTGCCCGTTTCCCATCAGTGCTATTGGTAGCTGGTGAGGGAGAAAAAATTTCTCCACTTTGTTCTGTTTCGGGCCTGACGAGTAAGCTCCAAGCCCTTATTTTGGGAGAAGGGTGAAACATGTTTAGATCGTTCATTTTCTGTTTTTTTGACAAATATGAAATTGTATGTCCTATTATTTTCCTGTCTAAACTTTCCTGCCTCCTTTCCATGGCTTCTGGATTAACCCCCTCTGTGTTTTATTCTAATCCATGCAGTTTTAATTTTGTCAGTGAAATGCCTTTTCTTTTCCCTGAAACAAAGATGTGTGAAGTCGGCACCTGTGAGGGAGGGATGGGAGGGGACTCACCCAGGCTGTTCCGAAAAGCCTCTTTGTGGCCCGTTGCTTTTGGTCACAGAATGTTACCTGTCACGTTTTAATGCCCATACGTTTTATGGTTTATAACACCCTTTCTTGGCCCCTGGATTTAGCTGTCTGTCCCAGACGAGTTCATTACAAATACCAGGCTATCCCCAGCCAAATAGCAAGATGGCTTGGTCTTCCTGCTTTTCTGAGTTGGTTATCCCTCCTTCAC